CCTTATTTTAATTACTTCTGTATTCGACGGACATACACCATTTGTATGTTGTGATTGGATAATTTAAATTAGCAAGTAGTGACACTAGTGAGACTTTATTAAACTAATTTTTCTCATTTTTTCGTTCAGGCATGAAATATTATTTTGTACCGTAAATAGTACTTGAAATATTATAATGTACTGAAAATGTACTAAAAATCTAAATGTACTTTTAATTTACTGGAAAGAGCAAAATGTACCAGAAAAGTACAAATGTACTAGGAACGGCAACACTGGTATATTCAGTCTCTTGTAAATAAGGAAATAATTATAAGACAGGGTTTTCCTGATCTGTCGGGGGATATGTTAGCAATTCATTTCTGTTATCATCTCGGTCCTACATACGTAAAAGTGTTCGTGCTTGTTTTGTCTTGAAGTAAGTTTTTACCCGACCCTTTACATGCCGGAATGTCAAAGTTTGTATCTAAGCTTATCCTTACAGTTCTGAAGTGTATTGACGTTACGGAGAATAACCCTTGTTAATTTATAGTTACGTGCTTTGGGAAATTATCGTGTTTGCAAATTTATACAGTTAAACATTCTAGTAACTAATTGTTTTTATAAACAGAAAATATATTTGAAATTATTAAAAAAAAATACTTCAATGAAAATTTAGCATTGAAGTATTACGACATTCGGAGTCTCATTTTCAATTAATTTTACTAAACTTTTGTGTTTTTTAACCATTGTTGTAGCACATCCGATACTAAGCCCGATAAGTTGTTAAGTTGTAAAAAAGAGTGATTCAATGTCGATGTAACTGTCTGTAACAAATCTCGTCACAAATATTTTTTTGTTTTTCTTTTTTCTTTTTACTCTTTTGGATTTATGAGGTGTCGAAACGTGCGATTTATTTAATTTCTGTGTTTCTTTGCATTGACCGTTTTTGATTTTTTTTAAATATTGCGCGCTTGAAAACGAGTAAGTTTATTGTTTTTATGACTAGTCTAATTGTATATTTTCGTTATATTTATTGTTTTTTCTGCTTTGTCAAAGATATATGTCCATACGTGCAACGAAAGTTTAGTTTTTGTAATAATTAATTGTTATTTTTAATTTTTCATAAGAGATGGCAGCGCAGACGAACTATGTTCTCTTTTTGTCACTTTTCATAAGCAGTTTTTTCTACACATTAGTTATATATTTTCCAGTTATATGAAACATAAATCATACAAAGATGGTCTACTGACATAAAAAGTACAGTAGACCCCCTCCTATAACACTGTTGATAATTCTGTGTTTTATGAATTACATGTTGTACGAGTCACTTAGATTTTACAAAAATCATACAAAGATGGTCTACTGACATAAAAAGTACAGTAGGACCCCTCCTATAACACTGTTGATAATTCTGTGTTTTATGAATTACATGTTGTACGAGTCACTTAGATTTTACAAATACGTGTGCTTGGGCTGTGAACGGCTCACCTATTTGTAAAATCTAAGTGACGCGTACAACATGGAATTCATATAACACGGAATTATCAACAGTGTTATAGGGAGGTCTACTGGGTATTCAAATGAATTATTCATTACAGGATATAACAGTTCGAGTAATGTTGACCTATTCATAGCTTTATAAAAGTAATCACGCATAAATTAAAATTATTTAACACGAAATAGAAGTACAGTCGACCCCCCTATAACACGATAGATACGTTCCGGTTTTTATGAATTCATTTTCTACGAGTCCAGCCAATCACAGCCCGGCACGTATGCAGTTTATGAACTACGGCTGTTTGAAAGTTTTTCTTCCGTAAAATTAATCAATTCTAGTCTAATTCGACTCAACATTTCCAAAATACGTATAATTTTTTTGGGAATAATCCATTTAAACTATGCTATAAACAAAAAGTCGTAAGATTACTTACCGAATGTGCACCGTTCGACCGCGCCACAGCTTGTTTTCGTCGTGGAGCTTGTCATAGAATGGCGCTCCGTGCTTCCTGATAAATTATTTTTTTGCGAAAAATTTGCTGAACTTTCGTGACATCATTAATATAAATATAATTTTTATGGAGGTTAATTAATAAATGGTGTTTAGTAGGTCCGCCGCTCGTTTAGACTCAGCGGTTGGTACAATATTTGCTATTGGTCTAGATTCGACCAATCCTGTCGCGACAGGAGTCGGCGATTACGTTTTACCGAATTATAGGCGTTTTTAGCGTGTTTGTACGAATACTGTCGCAATTTTTTGGCCGTCATATAGGAATCCTAACTATAGGAACCCGTTTTATAGGGGGTCTACTGTACATAAAAATTTCACATAGTTTGTGTCTAAAATCATAATTTACCTCACGTAAAAAATTAATTATTAAACATAAGTCAGGTAAATTTATACAAAATATGAAGTAAAATTTTGTTTGAAATTTAACTAGAAGTTTTCTTGCATAATGTGTTTTACCCGATTGTTTTTCTTTGTACAACACTGAAAAAAAGTCCTTTACACTCACTCGGCAAGAACGGGCAATTCTTGCATATGCCGCTATAGAAGAAATGACAGTGCAAAGACACAAACTTAACACTCGCCTCACAAAAGAGCTTATCCTAGTACACGCAGGCGACAGAAGAAGCCATATTTGTACTACTCGACAGTAAGAGGAACAGAGAAGGGAAGGATAGCCGAAGGGCAAACACTTCGCAAAGTGAGTGCGGGAATACGAACACGTCAAGACAAAAGGAAGAAAGCCACATTCTGAATCGGGAGATAGTAAAGGCTACCTGGTTGAAGTAGTGTCATGCTGCTGACTTGCAGCGAAGCAGCTGTAAAGCCAATACCAAAAGTTTAATAAGGAGCATAATAAAACGGTGCAGTATAGTAAGAGTAGAGAAGAAAATAGTAAACGAAGAAACATAGTGCCCTATAATATGCAAAACCAGTCTTTACAGTCCCACAAAGCCTATGATTTGAGTAAAACTTGTATAGAAGTTTGTTATAATTTATTAGATAAAGATTTTTGTGTTAGTACCGGTTGTACGACATCAATTTCTGGCACGAATCGTAAAATTCCCAGCCTTTTGACAGATGGAACGTGAATGTAAATGTGACAACATGAGTAAACGTGAAACTAACTGTAAGAGTGTAAGTTTATATCAGAACCAAACCTTATAAATAACAGCAATGTAATAGCTGCAAACGACTAACAAAAAAAGCACATGTAATTATTGTTTTTGTGAAGGTCCGAAGCCCTTTTGTTTTATAACAGTATCACCCCTCTAAATAAACCTCGTGGTTAGGTAAAAAAACGAAAAGGGGGGCTTCTGCGGTCGATGACCGAGACGATCTCCTCGAAAAAAATTGTTAAAATATCAATAAAAAAATCTCCTCCATTTGTTTAAAGGTAATTCTATAGACGTTAATATTAACAAGACGGGAGTAAGAGATTTTTTTACCCCCTCTATGGTTGCACGTGACACGTGGTTACAGCAATAAATTGTTTCGTTCGTACTCAAACGCGACGTTTGATATAAACAATATCTAGATAGTTGACCAGGTTAAAGAAATTATTGTCAGTTGAATGTTAATTTATGGATGAGAGCCGTCAAACCTATAAAAATTTATATTATGAAATCACATCTTCTAGACACCAATATCAATAAATTAAACAAACTTCTCTGTGTCAGTTGTCCGTACAAGCTAGATCCAAACATCAACACACGAACAGGTGTGCGTATGAATCATTAATGATGTCATAGTTCTCACCCCATCAAAAATAGTATAAAGAGGGCTTGGACGCAGTCCATAAGGCGGACATTTAATAGGCGGACATCGACTGACACATCTACTGACCCATATCGCCAACCTATCCGTCGTTACCTCGCCATAACTGCCGTGACGATCCAGGAACGTTTTTACCAACAACCCATATTACGGATCGGGAACTTAGAGGTATTTTTCTTTATATCTATTTGTATACTCTCTCTCTCTGCGAAATCTCTCTCTGAGAAGTCTCTCTTCTAGAGATCTCTCTCCCTCGTCTCTTAACTTAAAAAATAGAGATTAGATCTTTCGTATGAAAGACAAATCGTTGTCGCGACGTAGAATAGAATTTTTGTAGATCTTCACCTTAGCCTTTGATATGTGCAATTTTATAGTTGTTTATTAAATGTGTTATTCTTGTTCAACCTGTGTATTTATTTGGGAACCTGTCAACTTACCCACTGACCTCCCTTACTTTACCTTACTGACCTCCCCACTCATTTTATTTTGCCCTCCTATAAGGCCATCCTCTGACATAGCCGCCGGTAAGTGGGGACAACTAATCCCCTCGGTTCTCACATTTTTATTTTATATCCTTGTTTATTTTACAATGCATAATCAAAACAGAATAATAATAAATCGTAATAATTTACTTAAAATAATAAATAGTAAATCAAATTATTCTAATCGAACACGGACAGTTTGACACGTGTTTGTGTCGTAGGTGTAAGCAAAACTTGTGTCAAATGCAACCTGTAAAATTGAGTTAAATTATATTAACATAAAATAAAGTAGAAAATATTTATTCTGTAACTAGCTGCAAGGACCCGCTTCGCTGGGCTTTTATTTATTGACAAAAAGTAACGATAGTAAAGATTAACATAATTACATTATAGCTAATCTTACCCGTTTTTACAAAATGCAAGAATTTCAGGTCCCCCGTTTCCAGAATAATTAGAGACCTGGTCCCGATTCTTTTTCTGAACGTCTCCTGTTCACGTCAAGTCAAACGAACTATTTTCAACGTTTCTGGAACGTTTACAATCGTTCTATAATCGAACCNTGAAACACGACAACTTAAAATAATATTATAGCAAAAAGACAAAGTAAAATAAGGAAATAGTTCAATATAATAATTATTTAAATTATATTTCTTACTTATTTATTAAATACCTACCTTTCTCTCTGTAAAAGTTAAGGCCGTACCAGAGTCTTAGCCTTAGAAGAGAAGTGAGAAGAGGATAAGAGATGGGGGAAAGGGAAACATGGGGTAAGTATGATAGGAAAGTGTGAAGAAGAGATTTGTAAGCGTTAGCACTCTGCTCCGTTTAATTAAACCCAAATAAATGTAATACAAAATGTAGGTACAGTACATGCCTGAAAAAAACAATGAAACTGCTCCAATTTGTAAAGTACAACAGATCGCCGAAAAAACAGACTACGGTAGACAACTCGCGACTTTGCGAATACAAATGTATATGACAATTTAGAGAGAACTAAACATAACATAACATAACATGAACCCCAGCTTGGGGGAACCCTGAAGACCTAGTATTAATTATACTTTTACTTAACTTTATCTTTATTTACTCCCGATACCGCAAGAGCATAATCGGGTCAAATAAAGACATATATCAAAGCACAGGTAAATACATACATAATAACAGACAGATAACGTACAAACAGTATGACAATGGAAAAGTATAAACAGATGGTAAGATGACCAATACAAATCAACCGATATTATACAAAACATGAGTAGAATAACATGTACAGTAAATTAAAACAGACAATACTAATAGTAATAATAAATATTACACAGATATATGCTGCAGCAAAACAATAATGATACGTATATACAATAATGTGAAGGAAGCAAATGAAAATAATGCCTGATGACAGACTTGACTAACTTAGTGAATGACGGAGCGTATGTGATACTTATGAATCAATTTTTTGAATGCTTTGTAGGTGTCACTATCCTTAAGAAAGACATGAATTTCACATGGCCAGTTAATTCCCCTGTGGCTAAGAGCAAGGGCAAGCTCATGCCTAGCATCCTCGGTCATTGGACACATGTATATATAGTGCTTAACCCCATCACGGCAATTACAGATGGTACAGATGTCCATTGTAAATTTGCCGAACCTCTGTAAGTAGGCCAGGAATCTACCATGCCCAGTGAAGAATTGCGTGGTTTCATAGTCCGGACTATCCCAGTGGTGAAAAAGGTGGTCATGAATAGATAGAAAAAAGTTCCTGGCAAGGCCATTGTAGCTATCCCATCTCTGCTGCCAGAAATACAAGCTGTAGTTCCAATGCTGAAGCTTAAGAAAAGAAGCAGGTAGCACTGAATAATTGAAAGGGCCAGAGGTACCCGATCGTTGCAGCCTCCCTGGCAAGTAGATCTGCACGTTCATTACCTAGGACACCCTGATGACCTCTCACTCATTCGAGGGAATAGGAGTTCTGAGCACAAGGTATATAGTTTAGAATTTTCCTAACCAGAGGGTGAAGGTTGTTGAGATTTCTAAGTGCGATGATTGCTGAAGCACTATCAGAGAAAATTGTAACTCTACTTCCAGTAAGATTGGCTTTACACCATTGAACAGCCATGTAAATGGCACAGAGTTCTGCCTGATATATAGAGCAGTTAGAATGAAGAGTGACAGAATTCTGATATATTTCCTCCTCATTGGCAAAAACGACGAAGGCCGAGCCCGTGCCTTCTGCATTCTTTGATCCATCTGTGAAGATTATATAATCAGCAGCAACTGTAAAGGATGTGTCAAACCCACTTTTCACCGCTGGATGAGGAAGGTTGGTAAATGGTATATCTGTTTCATTCGTGCCTTCAGCATAGGAGATAGAGTTCATAATGATGTCATGGCCTTTCCTAATATGATAAGTACAAGCAATATGCCTCAAGTGAAGATCCAGAGGTCTTCTTCCTACTGATAACCTGAAGAGAATAATTCGAGGCAGTAGAATATGCTCTTGTGAGCCTGAGAAGGGCCCTACGCTGAGCAGATTGAAAACGGCGGTAGTTGTGACTGAGAAAGACACCGCTTTCCCAGACAGCCACAGCATATGAGATAATGGGAATAAAGACCGCATTGTAAATACAGTTTGAAGCAGCATAATTAAGTCCCCAGTGTTTCTTAGCAATCCTTTGTAAGTTATTAAATATAAGAGTAGTTTTATCAGTAATGTGATGGATGTGGAGACCCCAAGACAGTTTATGCTCCAAGACAACACCAAGGAACCTCAAGTGAAAGACAATGTGAATGGATCGACCCTGCATCTTAATGCATGGAGTGCGAGAGTAAAAATGTGGAGAGTAAGGTTTAGTGAAGACGATGCCTTTGGTCTTGTTGGAATTAAACCGTAGCTTATTACAACTGCCCCACTCACTAGTAGCCCTAGTCTCGAGCTCACGCCTCGAGTCTCCAGGAATAAGGAGGAAAGCATCATCAGCATAAGCCAGAGCACTAACATGCTCGCCAAAGTCACTGTAAAGAAAGTCGTTAATAAGGATACACCATAGGAGAGGGCCACAAGCAGAACCCTGAGGGCAGCCACGCTCCAAATGATGGGAAAAAGTGTTAGTACCTGACCTTAAGATGGCCTCCCTGTTGGATAGGAAATTCCTGGTTAGCTGATAGAGATTAGCTGGACACCTGCTCCCTTGCAGCCTGTGTAGAATAAGAGGCTACCAGGCAGAATTAAAAGCATTCTCTAGGTCGAGACTAATTCCCAGAACATATTTAAATGATGAAAGGAGTTCACGTACTTTGGATGTAAGGGCCATCAGAGCATCAACAGTGCCACGCTGTCTTCTAAAACCAAATTGAGAAGGGTGAAGATATCCGGTAGACTCCAAATGCCAAGTAAGTCTGTTANTTTAAGAGTATTCGAATGGAGTGCAACCATTATTGTAAAATTTGAAAATTTTCTTCAAACATTTAATCGGGAAAAAACGTATATTGCTGAATCTGTAGTATATTGTAGTATAACAAAAGTCAACAGTTTAAAAACAGTTTGGTGAATTTCGAGAGTGTACAGCGAAGTAAACCTCGCACTTCTGTGGTGAGAAATGCAGTCATCATACAGCCATTGTATAGCAAGAAAACTTCTACCGCTGATTTCTGTTATGGAAGTCTTCGGTTTGGATGTGTTAGAGACATGCAGATGTCGAAAGAAAAAAATCAAAATTAATGCAGAAATTCTTTGTAATCTACATGTTTTTCCTCGAGTTATTTTTATGGACGATGGCATTATTGTTTACTACTATGATAGCAATATCCGATGCTTATTGCAATGACGTATTTGTAATATTTGAAAATAACAAACTGTACATTCAGTTTATTGCATGGGTGTGTTCCTTGTACGCAGCGGTACAATTCGGCATTTTGAAAAAGAGAAAGCTCAATATTCACCACTTAATGAGAGATTTCAAGAAAGAAGAAGAATTCATCGAAAAACGTGAACATTACTTTCATTATTATTTCGTTTTTTATGTTTTCAATCTATTCTGTTGGTTCACAATGGTAGTGTTTTTCGGTTATTTTGGTTTCAGATCGGACTATTACCATTCTACGACATCTTATTTGTGCATTTGCGCATTGGAACTTTGGTTATTTTATGTTGTGTCCCACGTAATGTGTTTACTTCTTTTTTCTGTAGTTATTTTTTCACTGATACAGAAAAAGTTAATGAGTATTTCTACTCAATTACAACTTGCAATAAGCGCAACAAGGTATTTTATTGATGAACTAACGGATAAACTTTGGAAAATTTGGCAAATTTTGGAAGAGATGAACGAAAAATGGAAAGCTTTGTTTCCTCTTCATTACATTTTTTTTTGTCTACGAAACTTGTTTCTATATATACATTGTTTTTTTCGTAGAGATAGTAGAGATAGATACTATTTTTCGTATAGGGATCGGAATAATTTCAATATTTTTATTGACTGGAACGTTTATCGTTTCATGGTCATTATCAATTTTTTCATCACACGTGAGTATTGTTTTTATGAATCAAAACCACAAAATGAAAATTATTTAATTAATGAAAGAGCTGTGAATTGCGTAATAAATATAGTAATAGAGTAATAAATTTCAGATCTATGACAATTATATCAGCATCGGGTAATATTCCTCATCATTCACGCCTCAATATAGATTTAAAGTATGTACTTTTTTACAATANGCAGAATTAAAAGCATTCTCCAGGTCGAGACTAATTCCCAGAACATATTTAAATGATGAAAGGAGTTCACGTACTTTGGATGTAAGGGCCATCAGAGCATCAACAGTGCCACGCTGTCTTCTAAAACCAAATTGAGAAGGGTGAAGATATCCGGTAGACTCCAAATGCCAAGTAAGTCTGTTAAACAAAAGTTCGTCAAGGACTTTACCCAGTTCAGACAGAAGTGAGATGTTGCGAAAGTTGCTAGTGGTTGGCGGCAGAGATTTATTTTTAGGAATCAGGGCAAACTGAGCCCTTTTCCAAGCAATCAGGAAAACACCATGGCTCAAGCAGAGATTGTAAAGGTGAAAGAAGAGGTCAGGATGCCTTTGCCACAAGTAAACCGTTTCGATCTATAGCTAATATATTTTTCATTTAGAAAATGCAACTGGAAGTAAAATCTATAAATTATATACAATATCAGACTAAAGAAAAAAATCTGATAAATTTATCACACTGTATATACGTATATGCTTTATACATAGTTCAATTAATATTTTTTTGAATTATTTTTTCTTATATTATCTCATGAGTAAATATATATTTCAATATTCATCGTTATATTTTTATCAGTATTTTCAATTTAATTACTTAGTCTACACAAGTAACATACGTGTATATTCCAGTGTTGCCGCAATGAAATTTCAAAACGTACTGAAGCGNCGACGATTTATTAAAACAATTTTAATATATAATGCAGTGTAAATGTAATACATTCAACAATCTATTATGTTTATGTTTATTAATTTATGTTTAAAACAATTCATCAATACAAAAAAAAATAACTATTACTAAACACTAATCGGTGGTCATCGATTCAAGCCTGAATAATAATAGAGTTTTTCGAGTATTGTTGTTTATAACACTTAAGTAGGGGCCTATTTTATGTTTTTAAATGTTCGAAGTTTTAAACTAAATCGTGCTAAAGCTAACATTTTATAACACGTGCATTTATTTGCGCCTGGTGTTTTAAACACCTGCAATACAAACGTAGTTACTAGCAACACAGAACGGCCACGCCATAAATTCAGAAACAAACAAACAAAAACAATTATTATTACGTATGTTATTAAGAACACTAAAAGGACACAATAGTTTAATTAATAAACACACTACTACATTTATTTAATGAACGTTTTAAATAATAATTACGCTAATATATACACGAAATGCACCCGATAACGAGCAGCGGACAGACACACACACACGCGCTGTACAACAACATAAATATCGTTTATATAAATACAATTAAAACTTTTTTTTTAGNTGGAACGTTTACAATCGTTCTATAATCGAACCGATATTCGAATTTTATGTTCGAATTTAATTCGAACAAATTCGAACAAAACATTCGAAATACAAAGCCACTTTCAACCACTTTCAGCCTCATATCTCCCGCACCCTTCGAGACGCAATCACCCCTATGCACGAATGGAGACTTGGGGCTATCACCACATACAAACACCATTCACGTGCGATGTGTAGTTTTGGCGGAAAAGTGAAATATAGGGACATACACGTCCATTTATATATATATATATAGATATAGATAATTTTATACAATATTTATTCTAATGTTCCAACCATAAACGACGATTTATTAAAACAATTTTAATATATAATGCAGTGTAAATGTAATACATTCAACAATCTATTATGTTTATGTTTATTAATTTATGTTTAAAACAATTCATCAATACAAAAAAAAATAACTATTACTAAACACTAATCGGTGGTCATCGATTCAAGCCTGAATAATAATAGAGTTTTTCGAGTATTGTTGTTTATAACACTTAAGTAGGGGCCTATTTTATGTTTTTAAATGTTCGAAGTTTTAAACTAAATCGTGCTAAAGCTAACATTTTATAACACGTGCATTTATTTGCGCCTGGTGTTTTAAACACCTGCAATACAAACGTAGTTACTAGCAACACAGAACGGCCACGCCATAAATTCAGAAACAAACAAACAAAAACAATTATTATTACGTATGTTATTAAGAACACTAAAAGGACACAATAGTTTAATTAATAAACACACTACTACATTTATTTAATGAACGTTTTAAATAATAATTACGCTAATATATACACGAAATGCACCCGATAACGAGCAGCGGACAGACACACACACACGCGCTGTACAACAACATAAATATCGTTTATATAAATACAATTAAAACTTTTTTTTTAGATATTTTATAAGTAGACTTCAAATATAAAATTTATTTTATAAAAAATATAATTTTATAATAATATAACTGCATGTACCCTGCTCTGTTCCGGTTATTGAGAAGGTAAAAATGGTTATAAAAACAACGGTGTTATAAATAAAGTATACGTTAATTAAACAATTAATCACTTAATAAATGTATGTTAAAAGACGTCGAGCTTTAGGGATCGTTAAAGGAGAGGGCAACAGTACTCTTTTTAGGATGTAGATAAACTTAATTCAGTTTATATGACTAAAGGCATAAATGGGTAAGAGTAACATTTCTAAAACATACAACACCTGCCGATGACGTCAGTATACGCCACTTGAAAATAGAGTTTTCAGTTGCATGACACATTACGAGTAACTTTTAGCTTTAAAATTAAGCGATTTCAGCTCGTTTGACTAACTATTCACTGTTGAAAGGTTACTCTCAATGTTATTTAAATACAATTTATGTATGTGACGTTTAAAACAGTTCCTGTTCGAGGTCTTCCTCTCTACTTCAAATAGGAGCGTTACAATTGCTTGGAAAGACGTCGTACTACCCGAACTATAACGTTTGGTGCTCTATATGCAGATTAAAAAACATTCTTCTGTCTTCTGGCACAACCAGACGAGAATTCTTTTATTATTTCCTTCTCATTCTTCTACTCTTAGTTGTCCTTGTTTTTAAGGAATTCTGCGGTTCTAATGACTATCCAGTCAAGTAACTTTTATTTTGGGCCACCATTAACGCGACTCATAACTAATTTATTAACTAGCAACTATTTATTGTGTCATAGTCACAATGCTAGGTTTTAATCACATTTTTAAAATTTATTTAATTTAAACTTTATGTTCACCACTTCAATTTAGTAGTGTTTTTCCCCCCATATATAATACTTTCCTGTTATGTGTGTTTCTATTGTAGATACTAATTTTAATTCTATTTATTTGTTGAAAATAAGTCACATTAATTAATCATAATCTATTGATATTATAGTAAAAACCGAAGTCACTATGATGAAAGGAATGTTCTCAACTTTCATTTTATCCTTGGTATTTATGATGGTATGGAGTGTCCGTGCCGATACGACCAATAGACCATCTTATATTGACCAGTACTGCAGTAAGATATTTCTATTTTTTACTGTTGTTAATCAATAATAAATTTGTATGGATGTTAGTTCCTGTAATATTGTTATATTTCGCCTATATTTTTGCAATGAGTGAAATATTCAAGTGCAAGTCTCACTAATTATGACGTTTTTTACAGGTGTAAATCATCTTGACTGTTTTAGCAAATGTTTTAATAATACCGTTAGTGCAGAGGTGAAATATATTGATTTTATAAAATAAAAATTTGAGAAATATTTTTAATGAAACGTCTTTATTACCCTTAGAATCTGAATATATTTTACAATTGCCTTCGGGATCAAACCTCTACAGCTGGATCAGAAGGTATAAAACGGTTTCTCTGTCGAACTGTCACAGATGAGGTAAGAAAAATTAATCTCTTTTCTCCATTATCTTTATCCAAGAACGTCCTCTTTGCTCCATCCCCTCTGTCCCGAATTCTTTCGAAAATATTTAAGTTTAAGCTTTGATCTTTACTTATGCAACACTTTGTGGAATTTTTCTTTAATTTTTTCCATATAAAATTAAGTTATTCTTACAAATAAATTGAAATTATATTTTGTAATTACATTTTTATAGCAGTTAAAAGAATTTTATAAATGTATACACTACGACAATCTTCAATCAGTTTTCTCTCGACAATTTGATGCAAGTTTCTATTGCAAGTGTCAAAAATGAAAAGTAAAAATGTATTAACAAAAACAAAATTACAAATTTTATATTTGTTTTTTTTTCAGTGTTGCATTCAAAGTTGTTTCCCACTTCTCGTTGTTTACCCNAACAATAGCAAACAATTTTCTAGATATACGTGTATGTGTGTGTGGGAGGGGTGAGTAGGCGTATGCTACGCTTAATACTGCACGATAGGGTAAAGATTAAAACACGAAATTTGGCAAAATAGCTTGTATAAGCTACCTTTCCAAATGAGGTGCATTGACTCTGTTTAATTTCGGTGATGAAAGGTCTAGTGAGTGGAGAGAATCGGGGGCCATGTATCTGTAGAAGAATACGTCTTAAAAACTATAAATTATGTTTAGGTAAAAATATATATTAAATTGTTAACCAATCTGCATTTCCACTTAGCATATTCTGTTATAACATTATGTATGTTCAAAATATTTATAAAATATTAAACACAAGTTTCTGTATGGTTAAAAATACTGTATTGTCTAATAAAGAATGTAAAAAAAAACTTAATTTGCAACTTACATTTGTTGTTTTTGATTATTTTATTATTATAGTAAATGTACAAAAAAAGCTTAAAAAGGATTAAAAAATACAAAACTAAGAATAAAAGTTATTTCTTTATGTTTAAAAATGTCTCAACATTAAAATCTTTGATATCACGTAACTTACGAATAGTTTAACGTTAAAATTATTGCAAAATTTTTAATTAATGTCATACACACAAGAGCTATTTATAGAGTAAAATTGAAGAGTGAAATTATTAATAAGTGCCTTTTATCAAGTTTTAGATGAAATGTCTATAACTATAATGTCTGCCCGCTCTCACAACAACAACACAAAGATTAGACTAATCGATCAACATTGCCGAATTTAGCAGATTGACGTCATTCAGCTGACCAATCAGCGGGTGTGCCATCTGGATATTTAGTCGCACGTCTATAAACATAAGGACAAGAGACGATACCGTGATGCATCGCGGCAGTCACCATGTTGGGGCTCTTTTGGTATGTACAGTGTTTCTACAGCAAAGCTGATTGTTTTTTTCGATCTGAAACAGTCGGATTTCTTTTTTTATATATAAATATTAAAAATTGTTTGGAGTTCAGCACCGAATTATAAAAATCGATAACATATAATAATTAAAGGCGATACATATAATTAGAGGCTTCAACTAAACAAAATAAAAAGCTATGATCAGCTTTTTCATAAACAATTAGCTTCCCTCTAAAAACTCCGTACCCACCAAAAGAGCCCCAACATGGCGACTGCCGCGATGCATCACAGTATCGTTTCTTGACTTTATGTTTAATTTTAATTTTTAAAAAATAACCATAAATATAAATAATAAAAGTTTAAGTGTAACAGAAACAGAATATATATCTGACTTGCTTTACCAGCTGTTTGAAATGGACAGCCGGATGGCCGAACAGACAAAATGGCAGCTTACCGCTCCGGGAACCCAAATCAAATCCGGACGGGTCAAAAATCTCCAGGAATTTTTCGGGGAAATATGTCGCACCCCGTCCCTCACTACCCAGCCGCTCCATTGTGGGCTGTCCGAACTCATATAACGGCCAGATAGCCGAGCGGTCAAGGTGGTAGCCTACCATTTTGGGGGACCCGGGTTCGAATCCGAACGGGTCGAAAAAATTCCTAGGAATTTTTCGGCGGGTGGTTCGTTAAGATATGTCGGGTCCTGTCCCTCAGCACCCGGCAGCTCTATTGTGGGCCTGGCCAAACGCATAATGGGCTTGCAAAAAGAGGCCCTTTTAGTGCCCACAGGATAATTAAAGTTAAAAAAAGAAAAAACGTGTTCAGTTTCTAAGGTCAGAGTCCACTTCCTAGAACGACTGTGGATGGTACTTGAACCCTGAGATGTGCTCACTCAAACGAAACTGTCTATCAGAAGTGAGGCTGGAGAAAATATCTAGTGGTAAGGTAGGAATCTCTTTTGTTCTTATATTTTTATGTGTGTGTTGTTTTTTAGTTTTTCAGTAATCTCTCCGAGGACGGAGTGATCTGCAGGATGGCCGAGCTGTAAAAAGTAAAACGCCATCTGCCGGCGAGACGACGAGAGTGGGACGAGTCGCGACTTCGCGAGAGAAGACGACGTTTGAAGAAGAACGCGCGAAAAGACAGAAGACGAAAAAGAAGTCCTCCATCTGTTTTTTTTATAATAATCACAATATTTTTATGTAATTTGTATTCCTTAAAATGTTCCTGTTATCCAAACCTTCCTTATCTCAATTAAAGTTTTCAGGGACAAAAAAAGTCTCACATTTATAATTTCGAATATTATGTCATTGGTACTTCATATTTAGTATTAGAGTTGTTATTTCAAATATTGAAATGTATTTAAAGTATTCTCTGTCATTTTAGTTACAAGATATTTTAAATTTTTTGTGACATTTGGAACGAATCGAAGTATTTCCAATATCGTGATGTATCCCAAATTCCTAATGTTTATCTTAGTATTTTGAGTAATATAAAAATCTTTAATACACGCGACTAATTTAATTGCATTTTCTGTTAATAAAATTAAAAAATATAATAATAAAAAAACGTCAGTCTAACAGTCTTCAGTACGAGTAAAATCTAAAACTTTATTTACTAAGATATTACAAAAGAATTACATGCAAGTAAACAATACTTGTGGGTATCATAGAGGTGATAGTACAAACGTNTAAATAATATAAATTTTATTTTATCTTTCCAACAGTACTTATTTTATATATAAGAAAAGAGATCTGCTCACACTAAATGCATCTGCATGTGTGTGTTTTCTTTACTACCTCTTCAGTAGTTGAAGTACAAACACAGAGTAAGTGTTATATTACACCAGATCAAATTGTTTCCCTGGTGCAGTAAAGGAAGTGTTTTTATTATATCACTTATTCTATGTGCTTTCACTTCAACTAGTAAAGGGAAAGTATGGAAAAACATAGGTTTAAATGCAATTGGTATAAACAATTCACTTTTGTTCTAAATAAAAAAAATACATTTCACATTTGCTTCCTACGAAAGTTTAAAACATTCTGGTCATATGTTTCAGCCCGAGGTCCCTTTCTCTACTTTGAATACGGATGTTAATTGGTTGGAAAGACACTTTGTCGTACGAACTGTAATTCTCAGTCCTCTATTTACAAGTATATATAGATAGCAATAACATTTTTCTGTCTTTCGTCGTATAAGACAAGACTTCATTTATTTCTTTACTTTTTATCTCTCTTCCCTTTGTGGTTCTTTCTAAAGGGAATTTCCGAGTGTAACGACTATTCAGTCCAGTAGATTTCATTTGGTCCATCCCTGTCGGCAATCCTGACGAATATATTAATTATGCCTGACTGTAAATTAAGTCCTCCAGAAAAACCGATCCTTTTACGTGAAATACAAAATCGCTTTCTGCTCCTTTCTGGCTTCTTTTGGGTACCTTCTTTAAGTGGTTGACTCCACTTAAATGTTTCGAGTAGGATAACAAACTAATTTTTTACATACTACAGTACATATAGATAAATAGTTTTATTATAAATTATACTTTTCTATAGCAATATTTTTATACGTTTAAGGTTTGTAACTACAGGTAACCCCCGTATAACACGTTAGTTACGTTCCAAAAAATTGCCGTGTTATGTGAATACGTGTTATACAAAACAAAGAACTAATACGAAAAGGAGGGTTTGGTTCCAAAAATTAAAAAAACATGCTACTATATTTTCATAATTAAGATAAATATCTTCATTACTACTTAAGTATGTAAAAATTTATTACATTTGCTGTTGTACGAGGGTTTTACCCAATTCTCGAACCGTGTTAGAGTGAATCCGTGCTATAGAAGTGCCGTGTTATACGGGGATTACCTGTATTTATCTTTTATCTATATAATTTATTACGTTAGAACAAAATTACAGATAAGCTTCATTCGCCGGAACACCAATTTTTAAGTTATTGTAGCAAAAGAAACACGCAAAATATAACAATTTATACTTAGTTATAAACACAAAAAGTTCTTTAAATTATTCTTTCTAAAACAAGCTTTAAAAAGCAACATTGCGATTGCCTAACGAAAAATGGGTGCAAAACACAAACAATACGCACGAATTAATCGGGTGTCTACAAGTAAAAGTATTGTTTCTCTCCTCGATGATAGCCTCATCTGTACCGAGTCAGGTGAAAGGAATCAGGCTTAAAATTACAGTTATTAGATTAATTGTAAATCTCTCGACAAAATATTAATCACAGTTTGAATACCCGAGTGCGAGTAGTTGGTTTTGGGTTGATCCTAGCCAAAGGACTTACCAAATGCAAATTTTTGACTTTTCTTTACGTTTGTAATGCCTTAATAGGGGGCAGAATGTTTTCCCTGGAGACATCCTACCTATGTATTCTACCCACGTGTCACGTTGCCGTATACAACAAAGCAAACGAGCTTATTGTCTATGTGAAAATCCAATATAACGTCGACCTCGTCATACTTATTTAATAATTGTTCTCAAATCTACTACTTGAGAAATTGTCCATTTACACTTTCTCAATGACTGGATAAACCGACAGGTAATGTCACGGGAACCGGATATCTTCGATAGGGCGAGCACCAATTAGTGAGGAAACTGTAGACCAACTAACGGGGAAATCCCGAGCGATAGTAATAATCTTACGACCTATTAGCCAGGGAGAACTTCTAGAACAATTAGTCATACCGTCTGTCTTGATCCCATATATATTACGTATTTATTATGACACTCCTATTGGAGGTCATTTAGGAGCGCAAAAGATGCAACAAAACTTACCCATTACAATGAATGGAAATAAATATAGGGGAGACCGGGGCAAGATCGGCATGTTAAGCTTTACTTAAATTTTGTGTAATAAATACTGCTGTAAACTGAAAAAAAAGCTTTGCATATTGTCTATTGGAATGTTACCTTACTATAGAACTGGTTAAAATCAGTTTGGAAATAAAAATAATTAAAATAATTACAACTTTACAAGAAGAGAGAAATTGACGAAGTTGCCCCGGGTATAGGGGCAAGATCGGCAACTTCTCTCTTTTTGTAAAGTTGTAATTATTTTAATTATTTTTATTAAAGTTGCCCCTGGTATAGGGGCAACAGTAATGGGGCAAGATAGGCACGTATATAAAATTATGTTATTAACAATGTATAAGTTGGAATTCACTATTAAAACAAAGAAATACAAATCCAACACCCATTTAATATTATTACAACGAAATGCAAGTTCAAAGACATATATACATGAATAACAAATGCAAACATGTTTTCATTTATCATCTGTTTGATTTTTATCCTTTGCTTCTAATGTGGCTTTATGTTGCCGATCTTACCCCGCTAGTCATGATTTCGAAACATTAAGTACAACCCTGAGAACAGAATGCCAAGCCACGATCTGGCCACGTGAATAAGTTGAAGTTACATCCTTCTAACAGGAAAAGTAACTTTCGTTATCATGGAATTATAACAAAACCTGCCAATTCAATATAAATGGAAAAAAAATATTATATGGAATTGAACGAAAATGAAAATTTGCTTGATAATTCAACTACGCTTGTTGGAGAACAATAAAAACACTACACTCAACAAGCCACCAATAAAACTCAACTGCCTAACCTATAACCAAAGTCTCCTTTTAATTTGTTTTTTAAAAAAAGCGCTTGACAAACTTGCCCCGCATGCCGAAGTTGCCCCGGTCTCCCCTATATTAGTGTTCGTGGATCATTTTAGTCGATACGCCGTAGCTATACCTTTACCTAACACTTATAGTAAAAGTACCGCTAAAGCCTTCGTTATCCACATTGTTTTAAGACACTACATCTATTCAACTTCTTACGGATAGTGCTCAAAACCTATTATCTACAATGTTCAAGGAGGTATGCGAACTACTCCACATTTAGATACATTAAAATTTCAAATAAATTTTAAAAATATCCCTGATAACGAGTAGAGAACAGACAAACACACGCTCTACGACAAAATAAATATCGGTTATATGAACACAATTCAAACTTGCTTTAAATACAGAAAATTATAGGATACGTTTACAGGTATAGAATATTTTACCTAACAGACATACATTATTTAAGAGAGGGTAAGATTTAGGGATCGTTAGAGGGTGGAGGCAATAGTACTGTTTCTAGGATGTCGTATATTATCCTTTATATATTTAGTGCGGATGTATTGAACGTAATTAAGGTAAGTTATGTTAGGTTATGTTAGGTTAGGTTTGATTAGATAAGGTAAAATCTATTGATTTATATTATATGTGTGTGTTAATGACTCAACATTAGGGGTTGCAAACAGGCGGCCCACAGACGTGAGACGTTGCGTTCAGACGTCATATCTGGCCCGAGGCATTGATGATTACTTTTCTACAAAAACAATATTTCTAACATCTTGAGGAAACAAAAATTAAAATTAGACAAATATACAAATTAGCTCTTAGCAGCTAATCCTATTCCAATCCCACCCACACTCAAGATAGTCAATACATGCAGATTTATTTTAGAAAATATATATATATATAAACTATACAAGTTGGAGAAAACAGTAAACAGAAGATACACAAAGCGTGGCTTCTCACTTACTAGCATGGCTTTCGGGAACGATTACGTTCTGGACAGGCCTCTGTCAGGCCGGGGATTGGCTCTAGTGCACGGTTCGCCAGGCTTCAGCACTTATTCGTTCCTCAGATATTTTGCAGAAGAGTATCCTCGCTCTCTCCTTCTCTAACTTCAGTGAGATTTCCAAGCGTCTGAGACTTTCGTGTTACCTGTCTCCAGCTTTCCTTCTCTCCCGTTCGCCTTCCAATTTAAATACTTTTTGGACTTTAATTTATGACCTTCCTTGCAAACAGATTTCACTCAGCACCGGTTAGATCGAATGAGGGTGAACTCACTTTCTTTCTTAATGAGAGTGAGCTCCATTTATTTCTTAATACAAAATTAAAAAACCAAGTAATATTTATTAACAATGGAGTCGAAATAATGAAAACATCAAATTTCTCTACGAACAGGTGCAGTTTAAAACTTGTGTTGGCGTAGGTTTAGCCAAAACACGTGGCAATAGCGAGGATAAAATTATGTTGAATGCTAATAAAATAAAATAATCTAGAAAATATTTATTACGACGATTTATCTTTTGACAATTATATTCAATATTTATTATAATACTTTGACCAGAAACGAAAATGGCGACAGTAAACGATACATTCTTATTATTAAAGCAAGCAACTTGTTATAAATAAATAATGTTTTTAAGTATACTCATCTCTTTATATACACACGAATCCTCTGTTCGCTCCAGACCAATGGACTTAATTTAACGTTCAAAATAATAAAATATTTAAATAATTGAAAATTAAACGAAGCTACAACTAACATTTTACAACACGTGCATTCTGAGTGTTTTAAACACCTGCAACGCATACTTGTTTATAGGAGACTTTAATTAAACTCCAAAAAATTCCAATTAAATGAGAGTTTCGAATATTTACTAATATTATATGACTTGATTATATATTTATTATATGAATATTACAATAGTTGATCACGTGTAAAGAAGTTAACCACGTGGTCACAGCTAGCAGACAATTCGGAAAGGGAGAAAGATTAAAACATAGGTGATTAACACCCTTCTATCGGTGTTAATAGCGTAAATGTACAGTTAAACATGGTTTAAATAACTTAAAAACAAATTGTATATTTAATAAACATTTTAAATAATAATTATGCCTCTTTAAGTTTAGTTAGCATATACACGGAGTGTACCCGATAACGAGCAGCGAGCAGACACACACACGCTCTACGATTAAATAAATATCTTTCATATAAGTACAATTAAAAAAGCTTTTTAAACAAAAATCATGAATAATTATTCTTTATTAATTTAATTCAGTTTACAGGGGTAGAAGGGAAATGCGTAAGAGAAAAAATGCTCCAACATACGAAACGTCAGTATACGTCACTTGAAAATGTATTGTTTTGTCACATGACTTATTACATGTGACTTTTTCCTATAAAATGAAGCGATTTCGACTCGTTCGACTAATTATTCACTGTCGAAAGGTAAGTTTACTCGCAATGTAATTTAAATACAAATGGAAATTCCGAGTCTGAGGGCCTTCTCTTTACTTTAAACGAGGGTGTTATAATTGGTTAAAAAGACACCTTTCCGTTAGAATTGTAATGTTCAGTCTTCTATATACAAATATATTCAGGTTCCAGTAAGATTGATTCTTCTGTGTTTGATCAAATTAGACGAGACTTGCTTTATGTTTTCTCTTCATTTCTATTCTCATCGTGGTTCCTTTTTCTAAGAAATTCTGCCAATCTAATGACAGAACAATTTAGCAGTTTTCATTATTATCCTCCCCTGTAAGGTTTTCTGATTAATTTATTAATAACTCCTTGTGTCGAAATTTTCTGAATTTTGCATAGAGTTTTGTGTATTTGGGTTTATCGACAATTTAAAATGTTAGCTCTGTTTTTGTATGGATGCTTCTACGTAAAATATCTTTAACTCATTTACTAATTAGTTATTTACAGATCTATTAATTAAGTTTGCTAATTTTAATATCTTACAAGCATATTTATTGTAAATAATTGATATTAATCGTAACCTTTTAATATTATAGCGAATAAGGAAAAAACGAAGTGACCACGATGAAAGGAATATTCTTAATTTTCATTTCATCTCTCCTGTTTACAATGGTGTTGGGTGACTATGAAGATGACCATGACCACCTTGAAGATAACCTTGATAAGTACTGCGGTAAGATAATGTTTTATTGTTTTAAGTGCATACAGACACTATTTACATACACAGTAATACAGTAATTTCATAAGGTTTTGTTCACTTTCTTCTCAAGCTTAATTTTTGTGGTTTTTCTGAATATTTTCTAAAATTCTTTCGAGAGTTTTATGTTTAAAGGCCATTGATTCTATTCAATTTCGGCGGTTAACGGTCGAAGGGATGAAAAATACAATGGGTTAAGCGACACGTTGCTTAAATTTTCGTTTCTTTTTCTATTTTTACATCGGAATCTCAATTTATATCATTTTAAATCGGTCTTATTTACTTAAAAAAACTGTTCAACAGCTCTTCACTAAGGAATAATAGGAAAATATTCCCAAATATTAATTTTGTTACTTTTCATAGGTGTTATCAATATAGATTGTTTTGACTACTGTTTACAAGTATACATGGGTGAAGAGGTAAATATATTTACTTTTTTAAATAGAAATTTCAAAGATATGATTAATAAAAACATTCTTTATGGTGTTTAGTATTACGAAAGGTATAGGAAATGTAATCCGGAAGCAGTTGCAGACAAATCACCGGGTGAAAGACAATACTATATATGTAATGTAGCCACAGAGGAGGTATGAAAAACTCAAATAATCATTTTATTTATTAATCACTTTAATAAATAATGAAGTAATAGATGTGTATATTACATTTATTTTACGTTAAGTATGTTTACTTTACGTTAACTGTGCTGAAACTTACAAATAACACACCTGTAAGTTCCCAAAGGTGTTTGTCTCCTTTCTTGTCTTTCCTGGGCTATAAGTTACATTACCCGCATGACTCTGCTATTAACAGGAAAAGGATGATGCGAAGGAGCATTTAGAACTTTTTTTAAAACTCATCACTACCCACAAAATTAACTTTTTCGCAGCTTTATGGTAATTAATAATATAGAAAACATGGTATACAAAATGCCATTACAACTGGGAAAGTTACGCAACTTGTTGATTGAGTTTTTCTTAATTTTCTGAATAAACAATTAAGTTATTCTTTTTAAAAAAGTAAAAATTAATTTCTGTAATTTACATTTATATAGGAGATAGCAAAGGCTCAGGCATGTACACACAAAGACGAAGAAGAAATAGAAGTATTTCATAATGGACTTGAGGTAAGTTTTTATTGCAAGTAACAAGAATAAAAAGTAAAAATAAATCTATAAATTTTATTTTTATTTTGCAGTTTTGCGACATTTATCAGACTTTGGGTTTAATTCTTCCGCAATTGTTCTGTAGCTGCACTCCCAGCTAAATTTTCAATGTTCAAACGAACACTTGTGAAATTCTTCTTGAAATTTAAATGTAATTAAAATATTTCAAGGGAAAATAAATTTGAATTAAATAATTTTGTTTTTTCTTTTATAACAAATCGCTTTCCACGCGCGTTATTTAACTTATATTTATAAATGGCAACAAGTTATGTGGAGCAAAGAAAAGAAATTCAGTAGAAATTGACCAGATGACTGGAGAAGCTATTGCCACGGTATTAAGCAAGAAATAGCACCCACTTATAGTATAAAAAAATTTCATACGAATCTTACAGTAAAGAAACAATTATTATTACGTATGATGTTAAAAACACTTTCGGGACACAATAATTAAATTAATAAAATTACAAGTACATTTTTATAATGAACACGTTATATGATAATTATGCCACTTTACGTTCAGTTAGAATAGGCATGAAGTGCACCTGATAACCAGCAGTGAACAGACACACACACACGCTCTACAACGAAATAAATATCGTTTATAAAACTACAATTTTAACTTGCTTTTTAAATAATTTAGAAGTAGACATTAAATATAAGAATTATTTTATAAATGTGTTAATGTTATAATAACACTAGTTACGTGTGACCTGCTTTGTTCCGATAATTGAGGGAATAAAGTGGTGATTAAAACAACTGTATTATAACTAAAATATACATTAATTAACGTGAGGATTTGTTATTCTTTGTCGAATGTCGAAAAATATGGAATGCGCTGATTGGTACAGAATGTTTTACGTAACAAACACACATAAGTTAAGAGAGGATGAGATTTAAGGATTGTTAGAGGATGGAGTCAACGGCACTTTTTCTACCATGTCGTAAAATTAATAGTAATTTGATCTTCTGGGTGTTCTACGAATCTCCATGTTTTGAGACCTTCTAAACTCAAATAAGACATAAAAGGAAAATATTATCTATGTGTATGTGTTTGACTGTGTGTGTGTGTGTGTTGGTGTGAATATCGTTTAAAATCTCATAATGTAATAAAGGTTCAGAAACGAAATTTGGCGTGGTAACTTGTATGTTAGAGGCACTGACGCTATTAATTTTTTGTGGTTAAAGGTCAAAGGGATGAGGACATAGAGAGGGGTCACCTGCTTATTTCGTGAATCATCACAATGCCAAACTGCAAACTTTAATTATATTTTTTAAATTTATTTAACTTACAATATATGTTTTCCGCCTGAAAATTGTATTGACTTGCCCCTGTACATCATACTTTTCCTTTCAGCGACTGAGTCGTGCTGGTCATCTATCTAACACCTTTTAGGAGAAAAATGTTCTATTTAAAATAACGTGATTACGGCCTAAATCAGACTTTCTTATAAACTTAATTAAGTAAGCTCAGTTTGATCCTCGGCTCGTCGATTTGCTTCAATCCGTATAAAAGGATTGAGTTGTGGCAGGAAGTTTTAGTTGGCCTTGGACACATGAAGTGGACTCACGTTTGACTTTAGTTCGTCTCGGACATATCAAGGAACTCACGATCGTTCTAACTTACCCTAAGCTGACCTAGAAGAATATTTCGTCTCGCTGTGCGGTAAATAACATTAAAAGTTTTCGTCGCAAGGTGTCTTTCGGACAGTCCTGTTGTAGTGGATACATGTGTTGAACTTTGTTAACATCTGACGTTTGTAATTGTTATTTGTGAAAATTTTTGTAACTGTACATACATTTACTTTCAATATATAGGCCTATATAAGTTTCAATTTAACTGGCGTATGTGTGTTTTGAACTTGACTCTTATAAAACATTAACTTGATCTAAACATGTTATATATCGGGCTATGTATTATTTTCAGTATATATTTATATTATTATATTATTAATGTTATTATAATTTCTATTCTCTATCTATAGAGAAAAAAGTGATAGAAAAAAAACAACCTAAAGAAAAAAGGCTAAAGAAAAGCAATTCAAAGAGAAATAAGTTAAATAATGAAGCCATTAAGACAGAAATAAGAGTCGGAAAAGGGAACGAAAAGATATAGAGCGAACCCGTAATTCAACGAGTAGTATTAGTTTTGAGGTTCACATAAGAGAGAAGAAGTGCCCAGAACGAATGAAATGAAATTATAACTAGCCAAAAACAAAGGAAAGGATAGCCGACGGACAAACGCTTCGCAAAGTGACTGCGGGAATACAAACCCGTCAAGACAAGAGGAAGACACATTCTGAACCGGAAGACAGTAGAGACTAGTTGGATGAAGTAGTGCCGTGCCGCTGACTTGTTGTAAAGCAAAAACCTTTTAATAAGGAGGATAAAAAAACAGGATAGTGTGCAGTATAGTAACAGTACAGAGAAGATAATAGAAAACGAAGAAACATACTGCCCTATTATAGCTAAAACCACGTCTCTACAGCCCCACAAAGCCTACGATTTGAGTAAAACTTGTGTAGAAGTTTATGATTCATGGCTCGAATCGTGAAATTTCCAGCCTCCTGACAGAAGGAATGTGAATGTAGGTGTTACTAAACATTGGTAAACGAAAAATTAACTGTAAGTTTATATCAGAACCAAAGCTTATAAATAACAGCAATGTAATATCTAGCAAACGACTAACATGTAGTTTTTGTTTTTATTTTATTTTTTTATTTAATTTACAATACTTAATCAAAACAGAATAATAATAAATCGTAATAATTCACTTAAAATAATAAATAGTAAATCAAATTATTCTAATCAAAGACGTACAGTTAGACACGTGTTTGTGTAAAATTGAGTTAAATTATATTAATATAAATTAAAGTAGAAAATATTTATTCTGTAATAATTCTATACAATATTTATT